ATACATATAGATGTATACATACACAATAATATATATAGAGAAACAAAAAAAACATAAATACTAAGATATGGATGAATAAAACAAGTTAAAGAAGAGAGACAACAAAAATAAGTAAACAAACACAGGAGAGATCTATAAAAGGCCTGTCGAGGAGCCGATTAAAATTGTCCACAGATTCAGTGAATCTGAGTGATTGGGGAATTCCACAATGTTGGGACTAAAACAGCAAAGGTCTCTTTTAGTCCTGCTGTCAGAGCGGGGGGTGGATAAAAGGCCGAGATCTGAGGAGGGAAGTAATCGAGGAACAAGGAGATCTGAAATGTAACTGGGGGTCATGAAGTGCCTTATATGTAATCAGTAAGATCTTATAGTTGATTCTGAAGTTTACAGGAAGCCAATGGAGGGAGAACAGGAGTATTGTGGGACTGACGGCTGTTTCTAGTTCAAAGTCTGACGGCTGCATTTTGTACTTACTGTAAACGGTTTAAGGAAGCCTGACTGTAGAGGGAGTTACAGTAATATAGATGGGAGAAAATGAAGCTGTGAATTTGTGCTGTGAAAATAAAATTGAATTGAAATGCAGGACAAGAAGCTTCTGATTTTGTGAACATTTCATAACTGCAGAAAACAACACTGAAGTTCTGTAACATGAAGGTCGAATGTCATATACTGGTCGAAGATAATGGTCCGATAAACTGCAGAGAAACTCCAAAGATTTAGGTGGAGGACATTGAGAGACATCCAGTCTTTGGTGGCAGTTATGGAGGGAGGACAGTTGATTCAGGTTGTCGGGGGTTAGCCGACCCCTGAGGGACGCCACACAGCAGAGGAGCAGAGGAAGAGGCAGGAACAGCAGGATGAGATGCTTATAATCAGGTCAGAGCTAGCTCATGTTCAATAGTCTGGTTCAAATTGAACAATAATTCCTTTATGTAGAGAATCAGAAATATTATTGATCCTTTATTGATTGGGGAAAATGTGTTTGCGGTGGACTTCCTATATTAACTTCTTTGTTGTCATTAATGTTGATTCAAGGAGAACTGGGACAGCCCTGGATGATGTAATTGTAATATTAGTACTGACATTAGTAATCAGTTACTACTCGTTATGTATTTACTGCATATTATTACTACATTATATTGTTACTATTATTGTATGGAAATTGTATCCATATTGTGTATGGATTTTACATTAAGACATATGTTTTATTATATCAACAGCCTCCACATCAAGTGATTATATATACGATCGATGTGTGGAGCTGAAGTTAATTATTGCCCATATTTCTTATTGAGGTATCAGTAATGATGTCTGCAGGTGCACATTTCATATATATATATATATATAATAACAAAACAGTCTGATGATTTAATGATTGATTTTTATTTCATGTTATTCAAAGAAAACTGCAAACATGATTTAATGAGTAATAAGAGAATATACTACAATCATCATGTACAATCAATTCATAACAAACATTTCAAATAGAGCAGGTTTAGACCGTACTCCTTATAAAATCAATTATAGAGACCCAACAGTTCCCACCATGAGCAAGAGCTTGGCTTGTGATGCACAACCATGTCGAATTCCAGCTACTGCACGATTCAGCGGTTCTGCCCCCTGTTGACAGTCTTCCTGTCCTGGCCCCACCTGGACTGAACATTGACAGGCAGACCTATCTTTATGAAAAAATCAGGCCTTTCTGTGCTGAAGAGGCAAGAGACATCACATGCCCAGCGCCAAGGGTCACAGCACAAAAGAGTATGCAGAAGAGGATGCAGATGTGATATGACCAAATAATTGGACTCTCCTTCACACCCTCTCCACAATGTGCTGATCAGCCACAGGAGCTCATTCAGCAACAGACTGATCCATCTACACTGCACTTCTAGATTTCAATTTCAATTTAATTTCACTTATAGAGCACCAAAACAATACACATGTCTCATGGCGCTTTACAGAGTGTTAAACAGATGTGGTTGTAGATGTGTAGATGTGGTTTATACCTTGGATTATGGCACAAGGGATTGTAACATCTTATCCTGTGTATTAATGAATGATATTCAGGGGGGGTTTTTGTAATAAAAGCATTTCCATTTTCAATAAAGTACCTTCTGATTCTGATCAGTCCCACCTAAAGTGCTTTAAGGAAAATAACACTACATCAACATTAACTACATGATAACTGCTTTTGATAACCATTGTTGTTCCAACGACCCAGTAAGCAATATTTCTGCCCCTTGCAGGCTTAACCAGATACCTGTCACCTGAGTGCAGGGGGTAGGGTTATACTTAATGAAGATGCAAATGAGAGCCACCATTGTGTGTGACTAGGGAGGGGTGGTTAAGACATTTCCCTGAGGTGGGAGAATTGCAAATGTTCTAGGGCTGTTTTCACCTATAAGGGTTTTGAGATGTGGCATACATTCAAGATGGGCCACAAACTTCTTCAAATTAAAGTTACCGCAAGAAAAAAAAATGCTCTCCGGGAGACTTGTTGCTGGTTTTCTCATGGCTGGTCACATATACTGTATATCCTTATAAACACAATATATAAACACTTTATGTCATTTTCTTAACTTTAGCAGAAGATTTCTACAGTTCACTTTAAATGTTTCCACAGATGGTTAAAGATCTGAATGAATCTGACTGATCCTCCTTAATAAACATAAATCTGACTTCAATCAACAACAACAACAATAATAATAATATCACATGTTGGAGGTGTGTGTGAGAACATGTGAGTGATCAGCAGGCTGACAGTCAGTGATCAGTGTCAGGTTTATTGATCACTATTAACAACAACAAAAACAGAACGTGGACATTATTCTTCAGATTAACCTGATCTGTGACATTACACACATATATAATCAATAACTATAATCAATAGTATGTGATTACCTCCTCAACTGATCAATACCATCAGTCCACTGCAGAGAGACTGGGCAACCTCCTGGAGGAGGAGACCCCAGACAGTCCAGATCAGGGATTATGTCCCATCAGGATCCCCAGGAGGTTTGTGTTGTTGAGTCTTTGAATTCAGTTTCCTCTTCAGAGTTTCATCAGAGTCAACCTATGTTGTGAGTTTCTCTCTAATATGGTTTAAGTCCTGTCCTCCATTTTAATTTCATCTGACTGCAAACAAGCTATACTTATGTTGCTATAGCAAAAGCTGCGAGTGTAGATGCACCTTTTTGGGCTAAAAACATCACTGAAATCATTAGAAAAAGGAAGCGTTGGGGTTCGGATTAAAGAGCAGGGGATTTTGAGACGATCCAACCAACCAGATCAGCCCCAAGAGGAGAGGAAGAGACCCAGCTTGGAGCCATGCTGGCCCAGCTTGGACTGAAGGTTGCTCCTGGATAAAGTCCGGTTCAGGTGAAATGGGGCTCAGGCTGGCTTAACAACGAATATGTTCTATAATGAATCATTTCCTTGATTGTTGATTTATGAATGGTGGTGTTTTATATTAAAGTCCAGCAGTTTGTAGCTATAGAGACTAGGCAGAGATACTGTAGCTCCTATAAACTGTCTACATTCTTCATGAACCGTTCAAAACAACAGCTGTTCAGACTTGCAAAAAGCTTTCAAGGTAATTAATGTGATAAATCCAGTAAATGAACTTCAGACCGGATGGAAGCTCTTCAAAGTTCTTCAACCTTTCTTGGATCCACATTCTTCTCGTATATTTGATCATCTTAATCGTAATTGTTTTCATCAATATTTATATATAATGTGAATTTGTTGGCTTGTTCCATTTGTTTACCATTGAAGCATCATGGACCAGTTCTTTGGTCAGAATCTTACTGGTTATCAAAAACACCACTGAGTAGATTCTTGGTTCCTTCATCCATTTTACTTGCGATGTTTTCCAGTTTACGGACTTTCTCTGTGTCTCCTTTCTCCTTCATCTTCTCAATCAGGACTCCCAGGTAAGCTTGAGTTGACATCGTCTGAACACTCAGAGCAATCTGATCCAGTTTGATGACATTCTGGTAGGCCTGTTCCAGACACCGTGTCTTCTCTGCTTCAGCTTCTTCTTTCCTTTTCTGAAGAACTCTCAACAGACTCGACAAATCCCCGACTTTTGCTTCATATTTCTCTTTAATATCTTGCAGGGTCTTTTTAACTGTCCTCGACTTGCTTACATACCTGGAATCATCTTTAACATGTTTAGAAACAGAGCACCTCCCGGAACATACAGTGCAGCAGCCATCACTCATGACTTCACATAATGAGGCATCCCAGGCAATTGTGCATCCTGGGTAGTGACAGTTCTCTCTGCAGTCTGTACAGCGGGTAACTCCATCAAACTTACAAACAGTCAACCAACTGAAAGACCACCCACCTCCATAATGTTGAAGCTCTCTGTATTCCTCCTCGGTGTCTATGGTAAAGTTTGCATCATTTTCCAGCTCACTCTGGTGTTTCTTTAGTTCTTTCTGAGTGTTTTTGATCACCACCTGCGACTTTTCAATTGACTTGATTCTTTCTTGCAGGTTGTGGATGGAGGCTGTCAGTTGAATGCGTAATTTCATAACCTCAACAGTTGCTTTCAGCTTTTTCGGTTGAGCTTCTCCAAGGAACTGTGAAAATCTTTGCATTCCCCTCATTGTTTGTCGCAATGCGTTTTCTAAAGGTACTTCTGTGTCCTCATTTCTCTCTTCTCTCTGACAGTTATTGAACAGGAAGTGAACAGGCTGCTTCTTCTCATTTTTGGCACATTTCATATTTGCAGCTAAAATGGCTTGTAGAGCATTTTTAGGTGGCATTCCGTCTGAGTGTGTCATGAGAGCTACGATGTTCTCCTCAATGTCTTTTCCAAATAAAGACACCACTGAATCAAAGATGCGTATCAGTCGGTCGTGCACTCGATTCTCTGTTGCTTTCAGCACCAGACCCACTGCATTGATCTCTTGAACTCCATCATCTGAACGGAACAAGTCGAATAATTTCTGCCTGACTACAGCATCATGTGCTTTCCCTCTGGTGTCTCCGTAGCCAGGAGTATCGATGATGGTCAGAGAGAAGTCCAGAGCTTCACCTTCAAAGCCAAAGATCTCATACACGGTTACATCTGATGTCTGACTATGAACTTGACTTCTTTTCTCGTCCTGAACAATCTTAAACCAGACTTTGTCCTCCCACTTCACTCCCATTGCATAGTTGACCAGGGCGTTGATCATAGTAGACTTTCCTGTTCCTGTTTCACCCACAAGTAAGACAGTTTTGTTGGTCTTCAACGGATGTTTTTTACCAATGGTTATTCTTCTCAGAGTTCCATTAATTTCTGTCTCTGGTGTCATCTGATAGACAACAGGAGATCCTGAGGAGATCACTATACTTTTTGAAATGATGTCCTCATATTTTGAAGAAATCTTGTTTGGTTTCCTATAGACAAAAAAGACAAATGTATTCTGTTATTTTAAATGTTCTAAGTTTAGTGCAATATACAGTATTGTAAATCTGAATGTATATGTACATAACGTGTATACGTGTAGTGATATATCGCAAATCTAGATGTATAAGTACATAATATTGATTACATTAAGTCGTATATAACGTAGATATGCATGTATACGTACATAATATTTTATATTTTTAGTGCTATATATCATAAATCTTGATGTATAAAAACATAATAATGTATGTTTATCAGAATCAGAATCAGAATCAGAAATACTTTAATAATCCCCGTGGGGAAATTACTTGAAAGGTGGGTACAAGAAACAGGAAAAAACAAGAGGAGAGGGGAGGGGAAAAAAGCCGCTCCCAAACTC